AGGGCACGTTGCTTGATATGATACTGCTTGAGATTCCTGCCATCCAAGAGGCCAGCTGTTCGAAGAGGAGGCTTCCCGAGTTCCTCTGTTTGAGTGTGCCAACGCTGACCGCCGAGAGGGTCATACAGTTGCCCGACCCAAGGACTAACGAGGACCCTGTGGCGGCCTTTCTTGGCAGATCATCGTTCACTGGTATGTTCTTCGAATTGATACTTGTATGCGACCCTCCTCCCAACACTTCGCGTATCCCTGTTCGAGGTATTGATCAGCTTTCTATCATTGCTCTGATATCAAGCCTTCTGAACATCGCTTTACCGGAGCTCCCTGGCCTAGTAGAAGACATGAATCATATCGAAAAGCGAGGGGGGCAGTTTGGTAACGTTCGCAGTCTACAGATGGAAGTGCCTATTCGAGGTGATGCGCCGTGGGATAGTGATGGAGAACTATCAGTGCAAGTCCAGCAGCCATTTGCTACCGTAAGTTCCTATAAAAGCTGTTTGTTCTTTTCCTGAGCAATCATTGAAGGTTCCCCCCGCTCCTAGACGCTTCTGTCGACCTCGTCATTGCCTCATGGTGTACAAGGCGCATGAACAGCAACATCCGAGGGATCATCTCAGGAAGATCCTCAGGTCAGGCCCGCATGGACATGTGAAGACTCCAAACAGCAGCGATTCGCGGCCGGCTGATATTTACAATCTATCTCTTATCATTTCACCGAGTGCTGCTTGTCAGTACCTGCTGCAGTGAGCCAGCATGTGAGCTCAGTGGAAGCCTGGCAGCTGCCGTTGTAGCTGAGACCATCCTCACGACTGGTGCCTGCTCTGAGGGCTCGAGCAGACCCGTCCTCTTGGATCTCGATAATATGAGTATCACTCATACACTTGTAGCACTGTTGCATGATGTTATGCTGAGGTGTTCCTTCTCGAAGACTCAGCTTTCTGGGACATGTCTTCCGTAGGCAAAGACTCTTATCACCGTTCTCGAAGTATTTCATACCATGTTATTGTACGATGTGGGGTTGGATATCTTCTGATACCTTCGATCGATGCTCGCCGGATACTCGAGTAAGGACAGGTGAAAGTTATGTTTCACAGAGGAAGTCGTTGGTGTGGTAGGCTCTTCTGAGCTTCTTCGACGTTGTCCTCGAGCCGGGCCGAAAGAACTATGTGGGAGATGCACAACGTCCATCTAACGACACGCCAATCCCTGTGCGATCGAAAAGGAGTGTCTTTACTCGAAACTCAGAGGAAGATTTACGGCGTGAACTCCGCGAGCTGAGCAATGCCGACGCACAGCGACTAATCTGGCTGGCAGTGGGTGTGGTGACGATGAGGCAAGCGCACTTGGAGGAAACTCAAATCGAAAGCAAAGATATTTCGAAGGCCTGCGAAGTGAGTACGATGGAAGGAGTTGAATTTACGTTGAATGTGTTTCTCGTTGACAACAAGTATGGATCTCGTCCAGGTCCTGTCTTCGATGAATCAGCGCTCCGCGTGAAATTCGAACGAATGGGAAACCCTCTCCTTGGAACCTACTCTGTGCGGGATCGATTCAAGCGGCATCGTTACTTTTTAAAGAGAAGTCTTTTCATACTGATGACCACTTTTGCTGAAAGACTATCTCCTTAATAGTCTTTATAGCAGAGATGTACACTTCGTGGAAAAATTTCTCATGTTTCATAGCAATAGTGATCACGTGTGGTCCGTATGGAAACGCATTCTCGAGTTAGTGAGTGGACCGTCCACTGTGGACGGGTTCAGGAAACATGTCCCAACTTCGTCCACTACGAGAATCGCTGAACGTCGTCGTTCGGATATGTGTCCTTAAATGGATTATAGTAACGCTCTTCAATGCACACATGAGCTAATCACTGTGTATACATTCACTGTCCCCGCACATTCGAAGACTACACAAAACAGAGTACATGAAGGGCATTCATTGAAGGCAGACTTGTGTATCATCGAGCGCTCATGCGTTGATATACAAACGGATGATCGCATAGGATGTAATTAAGATGTTCCTTTGTGTTACACGGACAAGGGGTGGCATAGAAAATAAGACGTGGATCGTTTCGTCATGGTTATCACTGCGTACCTGCTCCACCGGTGTTGGAGTATAAGTTTGCTTTCCTCAACTGATCTCAGGACTGAGTCAGGAGTTTCCCCACCTATTATAGGCGTTTATACAAATTAGAGAATTTCCCGAATTTACCTCGATGAAGTTATATCGTCGGCCACACATGTGCACATTTTCCCACACTGTGCTACACCTATCCTCCTATGGAGCATACGACCAACCTACGCTGCTACAACACATCGCTGATGACGAGACTGAGACTCTAAGAGCACGCATTGGATCGAATGGTTCGGGACTGGCAGCTTAACCCCGTGATGTGTATGCTACGGGTAACGAGAGCAAATCGTATATGCCACAGATACCGATACATTCTAATTGATCAGGCCGAAATTTTATTAACATACTCTCAACCCATGATGCAGCAGGTCTTATCCCCAACCAAATCGTGAGCACAAGAACGGAAGGAATATCTGACCTTTCCTCCGAAAATATCCCGACCTATAAGTTGGTCACTCGTGAAGCATGTCGTTAATGGTTATATTACTGGTTAATAAGTCCTCAAGGACAAACACACAGACTACAGAAAGTTCCCTCATATCTATATTAGATGAAATCTCCTCCCACTATCGCGGGATGACCGAGCTTTTTTTCAGTTTGACGGTCAAACTTTGACCCCATACCCTATGAACAAACTCAAGACGCAAGTAAAAACCAAACTAGATTGGGTTGGGAAAGTCTAGTTCACCTCGGTAGGGGTGACACTCCACCATTGTCACCACCTCTACATCATCATATTCGAGTAAAAGTGGAAGCATTGATAACACACAAGCATCAACAATCCAGCTTAGTAGTCAAATTTAGGCACCCTGTACGGTGATGGAGTTGACCATGATAGGAGTCCTAGGACTGTCATTGCTGTTAGTGGGAGCCTTGGAAATATTCATCACGACATCCATACCTGAGGACCGACGAATGAGCATTGTGTAAAATCCACTAAACCGAGTATGTTACCGTCAACAACCTTGCCGAATACGGGATGCTGACTGGGAGCCAAATCGTTCCTCCAGAAATCGAGGAACTCATTGTGAGCTACGTTGATGAAGAACTGACTGCCACCACTGTTGGGACGGCCAGTGTTGGCCATAGAGAGGGTTCCGACCTGAACACCACGGTTATCATCTATCACGGCGAATCTAGGTATGGTCGGACCTCGTTGGACAGATGGGGACAGCCAGGCTCTCTGAACTCATCGGGGATGTTGCCACCCATATCTCTGGTAATCTCTCCCTTGCCAGGAACGTTGAACTTAGTGCCACCGTTGGGGCCACCAGTGCCTGAAAAGAGCTGGTTATATTCGCAACACTAACAATGCAGCGAGATGTTACCAGCTCTGGAGCTCCTTGGGTCCTTCGAGTGGGGGCAGCCAAACTGGATCATGAAGCCGGAGATGACTCGATGGAAATGAAGACCATTGTAGAAGC